AGGCCTGGTGCTGCCAAGCTTCCAGAGGTATAAATCTGAAAGGAGTCATCATTAGTTGTGAATAATGTGTCGAGGTCAAGGTGCTCTGCATGCTTCAACTCACTTTTATGATCCAATGAATGCTGGAATTAGAGAAAAAGTGTGAGCAAAGAATATGGATTTTCCTGAATATAGGGGTGGCTGGGGGAGGCTTGAGGGGAAGGGAATCGGATATAAATGATACAATGGAATGTGAATTTGTGTCATTGGCAATTTCTGCTCAACTGCTGGAAGTGAAAGATGAAATAATTTACCTGGGATCAAGTTATGTGTAAAAGGAGACTCGCAAAGCAAAGCAATGCAAAACAGAGAGCTGAGAAGGGCTTAGTTGGCCAGTGCCTACACTGGGTTTGTAAGGTAAAAAAAGCTATCTAAAAATGCAATAAGTTCCAGATATTGAAAAGCCTCCTCTTTCCCAAAAATTTTAATGAGAATTGGAGAAAGTTAGAGCTGATGAGGGAAGAAGACTGGAGCTGGGTCAGAGAACAGACAAGGGCTTGTGTTAAAGTTATTGCTGGAGAACACAGCATTCAAACTCAAAAGTGAAATCAGCAGATGCAGACATCACACTCTGGTTATGTCAAGCTGTAGATCTGGAAATAACCTTGAGAAAGAGCAATTGTGAAGGAAAGGTACTGAGTCATCAGCAACAAGATGATAAGTGAGGAGGGACGGCTGGCTGCGAGTTAATTACTGAATGCTTGAAAAACCATGAGAGACAATGGGAGCCGACCCTCAGAATCTGCTGTGACTGCCATCAGTGATGGGTCATGAAAGGTAAATGGTTGCTTTTTCTCATGCGTTGGCTTCATGTAACGGTTGCTTTTTTTGCTTGTGCTTCTGCACATCCAATGGTGCATGAGGCAACACCAAGGCAGTTGTAATGCTTGAGAAGCACAAGTATTGGTATTGTAATTATGGTCAGTGTAATGGTTTGAGCTCGCTACAGATCAGAAGCAGCACTCTCCTTCAGGCTCCACGTTTCAGCAAGTTGTGTGCACATCACAGCCTCCTTCCTTTCCTTTTCTCTTTAGGCCTCTTGGTCAGCTTTGCTCACTGGCCTCCCGCTTCCCACATTAGCAATAGGTTTCCCTGCCCTTTCTTTTGAATGCTTTTCTCCAGACAGTCGTTTCTAAAAGTTTCCTTCAGGGCCCCATTCGGCGATCTCTTTTCTGGCAACACTGCAGTTTGTGCAGCTCCCACCCTGGTGATGGAGGCCCCTGTGCTGGTGGGAGCTGGGTGATTCAAAGCAGGAAAACGCCTGGCTGGAAAGCAATCCAACTTACTGTGCAAGACCACGACTCACATTGTAGTAGAAGAGGAAACCCTAACTGTGGTTGAGGAGAGCCGTGTCAAACCATGGCTGAAGCATGTGCTGCCCTGTGCTTGCTCCATTCATCCCATCTGCCTTTCTGCCCACCATACCTTCAGTGAGCTTCAGCTGCCCACTGTGCAGGGTAATATTGAAGCAGCTGCTACAGCAGTCCGTGGGCTAACGATGACTTGTGTGTCTGTTTCTTCAGTGTTCCAGGTAGTCCAAGTGCTGGGTTTACAGCTGTTGTTCACACCAGTGAGCCTGCATTTGCCTTTGCCTAGCAGAATGAAATTGGTTACTTAGTTCTGCAAGCACAGCTGCTCTGCCTCCTTGAAACCAAGCAAAGTGTGGCTGAATTCACTCTGAGATATGAGTCCAACAGGGCAATTCTAGGGAATCCTACGGGGGATGCAGTGTCATACTGCATCTTCTATGAAGTTAAGAATGATGGGGTTTTGTTGCTGCTGTTTCCAATATTCTTGTGGCAAGATTAATTCCCTTCTCTTAAGGGAGGACTTGGCTTTTTTGGTAAATATCAGTCTTGAAATCTCCTTTGATAGATCGCTTCTATAATTTGTGTTATATCCACTGTATTTAATGCTTGCTTTGATCTTTTATCACAGTGCTGCTCCCGTTGTTTTACAAGTATTATTTCTAAAGGATTTGACTTTGTGAAGCTAACATTCACTGAAGCCATTGAAGATGTGAAACCACAGCCTCGCTTCTCACATCCTCTTCTACAAAATTCACATTTAGTTTCAGTCTCTGCTGCTGTGCTCAGTCCTCCGACCCTTTGAAAAACTACTCTTCCCTCTTAAGGAGTGGATCCTCCTGAAGAATAGCAGTGATGAAATGCTTCAAACAGAGTATTTTTAATTGAACCTTCATACGGTCATTGCATGACTATTTTACCTGCTGGCTTTTTTCAGCTGCCTTGTTTTCAGAATGATTTTGCTGATTGGGGCATTTGTTCATAGTGCTGTTTGCAGGTCCTGATCGCAACCTGGGCTTTGGTCTTCTGTCTCTGCATCCAGAAATCCCCAGTTTGCAGCTGTTATTTAGCTTTGTGAACCTTTACCTCCAGTTTACAGTCTAATTTTAGTCCCTGCGGCACATTTGTAGCTAAATCTCTCACAGTTTACAGACAAACGTTTGTAAACCTTTCAGCATGGAGTAGACAAGCAAATGCACGTGCAGAATGCAATGAGCAGCACAAGATTACTCACTGAACATTTCCATTATCTTTGTATTCTTGTGCTGTTCCAACTACTGGATGCCACATGGCGTGTTTGGACTCCAGAGGCCTTATTAGAAATAGTAATCATTGCTGTCCAGATTTTGTGAGTGAGCAGCTGAGGCAATCTAACTTGCCAGTGGCTGAGCTGAGAGCAGCAGTCACCTCCTTTGTGCTTCAGTTGCAGACAGCATGCTGTGTTCTCCAGGAGAACGCATGGTATGGTGGCTGTGCAGCAGCATACGTGATTCAAAACTGTAGCTAGTTCTGCATATTTAATGCATAACTTGCCATACGTTTTGTTTCAAGCACACCTTCTGAGGGGTAACAGTGTGCAACAAGGCCCAGAGGGGCAGTGTCAGTACCTCTTCCATCTCAGTGTACACTGGTAGAAGTTCACACTTGATACACTCTGTGCTGACACGATGGGCTGGAGATAAGAGCTAGCAATGAATGGCTTTGCTGTGGTCAGAGCCTGTTCAAGCTTTGAAAACATTGCTTTTCATTTTCGTATTCCTTTTTTCGTTTATTCTCTTTTGCCATATGAAAAGATCCTTTTCACTGAGGTTGGTTTGAGCAGCAGTGAGAAACAGCACCATGGTACATCTGTGTGTCATGAACTATAGTGCCTTGAAATTTAATTACTTTACATTTAAGTGAGTGGCAACTGATGTGGATTGCACAAGTAACATCCTCATCACTGAGCTCTTTCAGACAGTGGTGAGGCACTGGCACAGGCTGCCCAAGGAGGCTGTGGATGCCCCATCCCTGCAGGCATTCAAGGCCAGGCTGGATGTGGCTCTGGGCAGCCTGGGCTGCTGGTTGGGACCCTGCACACAGCAAGGGTTGGAACTGATGAGCGTTGTGCTCCTTTGCAACCCAGGCCATGCTATGTTTAGACAACTGCAGTCTCACACGGACCAGTGATAGTTATGTGAGAGATTGGTGCTTGTTGGTGTGTATGGTCCATGTGTGGGGACACTAGTTGGCATATGGATCCTCTGTGTGCCTCCAAAGTACTCAGAGCCCATGTTACAGTCATGGTGAAGAACCCATGCAACTCAATGTCAGACTGGTAAATAACCTGTGGAACTCACTGGCACGCAATACAGCTGCCAACAACGTAAGCAAGCTTAGAAAAAGGTTTTGAAAACATAAATACCAAGAACCAGAGAGCATGTCATATTTGGGGAAGAGGTGAATCTGGAGATGCTAAAATAAGTGTGTTAAGAATGTCACTGCGATTTGATTACGACTGCTGAGCCATCCATGTATTCAAGGTTCCCGTGATGAGGATCTTGGTGTTGTGCTTGCACGACAGCTACTTCAGTTCCTGGCACTCAGGATGCTGGGTTTTACCACTCAGTTCTGCACTTAGTGGAAAGAAGGCCCAGGCCTGATGAAAAGGCTTTTGCAAGGTCAAAGCAGGCAGAGGCAAAAAGCAGACAGAAGAGCAAATCTAACAAGTCGAACATGAAGCTGAGGTCGTGACATGGCACTGGGCTGCTGACAAAATGAGAACTGCCCTCACGCCCCAAAGCTCTCGCTGCCAGAGGCGAGCAACACAGGCATCTCCAGACCTAATCCATTACCATGACCTATATGGGTTACAAGGGAGAGGGGGAGCCGTACTGGGTATTTTTTTGTCCTTCTTCCATTTTCTCCTGGTAAGCTGCCCGTATTTTTTGGCTGCAGCATTCACCAGTGCAAAGAGACAAATCCTTCCTTCCCGGTGAAACTGAAGGCAGCTCTGCTGTTAATGTGCGTGCAGTGAGACAGGGGTGAAGGTTTCAGCCCCAAACCACCGCGTGTGATGGGTTCAGCAGGGAAGGAGCCGACCTCCTCCTTGAGCACTGAAATGCTCTCAGGTATCTCTCCCAGCCAGCAAGCTGCAAGGTAAGACCACGCTTTCAGTGCTGGTATTTGGAAGGATGAGCATTTCCATGCAGCAGTAAACACCCCACATGTTGTGGCAGCTCAGGTAACGCAGGCAGCTCAACTCTCAGGATGTGGACATTGAAAAAAATACCTTCCACACCTCACATTCTGGCTGCTGATTGTATGTGGCTGTTCTCTTACAATTTCCTTCCTGCACAGGCAGCAATCACTAATTTTAGACTGGCTTACATGTGAGAGTAGCATTTCAGGCTTGGAAACGGTTTTGCTACTTGCTTCTTAAGAACAAACCTATCCCATCTTTCTAGGTGACGTGCTGCTCTGTGAATGTAAGTGACAGATGGCAGAGCTCTTGATTGCGAAGAGGAAGCAACCATAGCACGCAACTATTTTGGCTTGAAGGTGTCCAGGACTAAATGACAAAACTAAACTAAAACTATTTGTGCAATAGCTGTTAGAGAAAAGCACACATTGCCTAGCAACATTCAAAAGGAAAATTATAATCTCTAGGTTTTGATGCCAACAGTCATCAAGTGGGTAATACTAGACAACTAATTACATGTAGGGTAGCATTTATATTAGCTTTGTAATTCTTATAAAAGTATTCTGAGTCTTGCTATGACTGTTTTACAGCCTTTGGTTTGGTAATGCACAGTCAGGTGATCTTGTTTCCTTTTTTCTTTTATTTTTTTGCCATTTTGTTCATGTCAGTCTTACAAAATACATCCCCTGCATGTGTTCCCTGCAACGTGCGCAGCCAGCTCCGTTACCCTGAGCTGGGTGAGATGCACAGACCCCTCAGTGAGTGAAATCACACATATTGACACGCAGTTCAGAGGCTCCTTTGTGCTACCTGTTGTTAGCAGTGCTGCAGTGCCCAAGGTCCTGCTCTGAGCACCATGGAGGAGGCTTCAGGACCAATGCCCTCCCCTCGCTGCACCCTGAGCCCCATGCAGTGCTGCCTGCATGGCACTAACTCCTGCCCACCCTGAGCACACAGCTCTGGCATAAAAACAGTCTTTGCTGTGATAAGAGGTAGGAGAGAAGGACCAGTAGAACAAACCTTAGGGAGAGCATTGCTCATGGAATGCTCAGCCATTTTACAGGGTATAGTAAACTCCTTCTATGCTTGTATTCCTTCAGAGCATTTCAAGTGTTTCCTTAAAAGGTTGGGGTGATCAGTCAAAGAAGTGATAATAATCCAACCTCTCACATTCCCAGGGTGTTTCTGCTTGCCATCTTGCAAGGCTACCTCTGACATCCTGGGCAAACTTTTAACTGCTTTCAAGACCACTCAGCAGGAAGGAGACTCTGATATTTTGTTTTCTGCACCTCAGAAGATCCAAATTTCCTCATATGCACTGAATATGAGTGGGAGCTATTGGTGATGGGTGAACGGTTGGACTGGATGATCTTTTAGGTCTTTTCCAACCTTGGTGATTCTATGATTCTATGAATAAATGCCATTTCTCTCTGCCGTGTTCTGCTTCGTACAGAGCAGCAAAGCCAAACCGCAGACAAACTGACATGAGGTGATGAATCCTTCATCCAAAATGAAGAATCTGCCCAGTGACAAATGGAGACAGAGATTCTCAGCGGGGCTGGCAGGCCAAGATGATGAAGGTTTGTTCTTACCTGATGGATTTTTTTCTTATTGAATGGAAAGGAAAATGAAATTGGGCTATTCTGTCAAACAGAAAAGATTTCGTATGGTATCCATGGCTGCTGCATGATGTGTAAACTGTCCTCATTGTAGTGTCTCTTCATTGGGGGTGATCCCAAGCTATTTTACACACTTCAGCCAGAATACCTCAGGCATGGTTTTATCCATCTTGAAGGCAATCAGCTCCAGGTGTTACATGTTCTGTATATTTAACAAGAGAGTGCCTTAGGCTAATAAATGAAGCAGAATGCATCCTGTAAGAATCACCTGCTTTGTATTGCAGTTCCTACAGGAATCCAAGCTCACATTTTCGTGTTTGTAAAAACATGAGGTAAAATTAAAATGATGTTTTACTGGCCAAGGCATCCAAAAGCTATTTGTGGTCGGTTAAGGGGGAGAGTTTCAGATCTGGAGTTTTGTTTCGGCTCTGATGTTTGACATCTCAAAGGCAGATATGTGTCACGATGGGATTGCCACAAGTCTGTGGGCTTTTAATCACAGCTTCTCTCAAAACAATCTCCCAATGCTCTGCGGAAAGCAGGTCTGTATATCCACAGATCCTCCATTCGTTGCCCTTAAGCAAGAAACCAGCTCATCTGGAACCAAGGTTTGTTCCTGAGCTCCTTCACTGTACAGTGTTTTTTCCCACTGGTTTTCCAGAAGTGTATTTTGTTCCTCCTGGGCAGAGCTGAACGCGTGGTTTTGCCCACTTCTGTCGTTGTTTAAAACCAGGTTGATCTTATCCAGCAGGCAGATCTGGGGCCCTTCAGCTCCTTGAGCATCCCACAGGTAGCTGAAGGGGCTGCTGTAGTCTCTGAAGAAAATACTTGTCTCTGGTTCTGGAGCCGGCGTGTAGGGCTGTGTTAGGCCGATGTTGGCAGCTACATATCCCAGTGTGTTTGCATCAGAGATCTGGGGTTTGTAGTCACCGACCTGCTCCGTGGCCGTGCTGTGGGGGGGTGCTGAGCTCTGTGGGTGCTCCACGTTCTCAGGGACCACGCTGCTGGGTTCCTTTTTGATGTCCACCTTCTTGTATTTCTTGTGCCCTGACAGCTCCTGTATTTCTGTAATTGTGGGGTCACTGTTATCCGGGACCGGCCCACTGAAAATGCTGCTTGTGAATTCACTCTTTTCCTAGAAAAGAAAAGGATGACTGCACTAACAGACAGGCAAATGTTACCAATAGGAGTGATATCATGGGAGGACCACAAGGGGGAAATGGGACAATGACTTCTTGGTCTTCATCTCAGCATCCTCTCCTCCTCTCTCCTCCAATCCCCACCACAAAGCAGATTACAGTGAGATGTGGAGAACAGGCAGAAGAGCTGCACATCTCCGTGTTTACATGGACACCTCGAGGTCAGCTTGATTCGGTTCTACTGCATGAAATTTATATCGAGACAAGGTCTAAAGATCAAGGTAAGCTGGGCTCCGGTGCACAGTGCAAATGGGAGGACAAGGATTCTCCAAGTTCTACATCCCTTAGGGCTGAACTCTTTTCTTGTCCATATTTCTCACACCTACAGAGTGATTTTCCATCTGAGTATCTGTAAGTGAAAAAAAGCTGGGATGCAGTGGTGCAATTACCTGGAAGGACTTTATCACCCTGCTGTTTTCCACGTGGGGGAAATCTTCAAGCAGCCATTTTGGCAAGACCAGTGCCACTGCTGCCTTAGTTCTTCATCAGACAAAGAGAGAGAAAACAAGAGTTAGTCTATTTTGTTGTCACTCACTTGTCCATTCTGGATGAAATCGTCCCCAGGGTGGTGGGGGAACTCCAAGCGTGTTGATCACTCATGGCCTTTGTGGAAGGCTCGGAAGCATTGGGTTTACAGACCCTTGTTCAGGTAGGTTTTCCCATTTGAGCTCTCCATCCTGCTGCTCTGGGTTCCATTTGTGGCAGTAGTGGAGGGTGCTCAGCATAACAGTGATAAGACAAGGGGGAATGGCTTTAAACTGAGACAGGGGAGGTTTAGGTTGGATATGAGGAGGAAGTTTTTCCCCAAAGGGTGGTGAGGCACTGGCACAGGCTGCCCAAGGAGGCTGTGGATGCCCCATCCCTGCAGGCATTCAAGGCCAGGCTGGATGTGGCTCTGGGCAGCCTGGGCTGCTGGTTGGTGACCTGCACACAGCAGGGGGTTGGAACTGGATGAGCATTGTGCTCCTTTGCAACCCAGGCCATGCTGTGGTTCTATGGTAATGTCACACTGCGTGACACTCCCCAGTCTGTGCCAGTACCAGGGTGCAGATGTGAGGGGCAGCCAACAGACCCTGCAAGGGACAGCATTCTCTCCTCATTCAAAAGTAGCAGAACCAAATTCTAGTACAAAACTTACATAAAGAGAGCTGTGTTTTTCCTCTCTCTTCTTTCACTCCCCCTGTATGCACTGTATAATAACAATATATCATGTGTCCCTAAGCCTAGCTTCAATGGGGGAATCATTTTTGCTCTTTCAGTTGTTTTCTCCCATGCTGTGGAATTCACAGGTATCCTTTTCTGCAGCAATGTGATCAATGGGTGCAGCTGCCCTCAGGGAGAGCAGAGCACAGAGAAAAGGATCCGTTTCTGTAGTTAACTTTAAAGTATTCTGGAAGAAAAGCATGAGTTGGAAATAAGGAAAAAAATGTGACAAAAGTGATACCTTTTCCTAGCTGATTTTTTCAACATCAGAATGACAAGAACCACAGATATTATGATCACACTGACACCCATTCCCAGGAAAAACCTGATGTCATCATCTGAAAAAAAAAAGAAAAAAGAAAAAAAAAAGGATAAAGAGGGAAAAAATTAATCAGGCAGCTTAAAGATGGCGTTTGTGGTCTGATTCCTCCCTTGTGAATAATTGTGCATCCACAATCAGTCACACTGACCTCAACTCCTCACATTCCTGTTGCTGTCCCTACAGGTTTACCCTCAGCTCTGATGGCCTGCAGGAAGAACGCCTGCATTTAAAGCTGGAGGCAGTGAAGCACCAGGCTGAGCACTGAGGGCCCTTTCCTGTGCAGATGGGAGCTGTAGGCAAGTAATTCTAAGAAGTGTGGTCATTGTGTTTAACCATTTCCCACGCAGAGGTACCTTCCAGAAATGCTCAAGTGAATTTTTCAGTTCACGTTGGTTTTGTTTTGTTTTAAATACTGAAACGGATCACAGCATAACCTTTACCAGAACGCATGCAGAACACAACTGCAGTTAGAAAAATAGATGGGAAAAGTTTAAACAAGTCTTTGGCTCAGATTGTAAGGGCAGAAGTCAGTCACTGTTAGGCTACTGCATCTGCTAACATTCCTTCTCATAGGCTGGATGTGGCTCTGGGCAGCCTGGTCTGCTGGTCGGTGACCCTGCACATAACAGGGGGTTAAAACTAGATGAGCACTGTGGTCCTTTTCAACCCAGGTCATTCTGTGATTCTATGATCTTTTATTTTCCTTATTTTCTTACCTCCAATTTTCTGGAATGTACATTTTATTACATGTCTCATAAGAAAACAAAGCTTAAATTGCAGGATGATGCGTGTTCTGCTCAGTCTGCTCACTGCTTTCTCACTATGTGGCTTACTTTCCTGTCAAGTGAAAATCTCTTTTCTGGCTCTGACCTCTCCAAAATATGTGGAGTTTTCTCCTTTCCTAAATCTCCAGATGCCACACTTGCTGCTCTGGCCAAAACTTTTCTGCTCAAGCAGAAACTCTTGCTTACCAAGACTGAAATACTCTGCTCTTACCATGCGAAGTCTCCTGGTAAATGATGTCCAACATCCTGTCCTCCGAAGAAACTGCAGCAGAGAGAGGAAAAAATGCCCATCACTTCATTTACAGAAGTAAAGTGGGTGAAGTAGAAGTTATTGTTAATTTTATTCATATTATTTAGAAAAAATGGCTTCCAGAAACATCATGCCCCTCTGCAAGAACCACAGGCTGATTGTGCTTAGGCTGACTGGCTTTGATAAGGACACAGCTAACATCCTCATCTGCAGTCTTAGTGCTGACAGAGACAATTCAGAACACCCAGCACCACGTCCTGAGCTCATAGGCTGCTTGAACCCACCTGGTAACTTCTACAAGAGTCACTGATCTGTGAGTTTGGACTGATTTGGATGAAAAGGAGTGAAAACCGCTTGGAATTCACAGTGATTTAATGAACCAATGACAGTGATTTAATGAACCAATGCACTGAGCTTGTCCAGGCCTGGCAAAGCCATGCAGGCACAGAGGAGAAATGCCCATCTGAATTCTGCTTTGCACCAGCTCCATAAAGACCAGCACAAACCCACAGGGAAAGCCTTCACTGCTTTGTAAAGCTATCTGTGTGCAGTTCTCCCTTCCAAACTCTGCCTACATGGTACTGTACCAGAGAGGCATGCAGCAATGTCAGCCCTGGTGTCCAACTGTATTTCATGTCACTAAGTTGGCACTGGGCTTTGACCTGAGCTGACCTGGCTAATGTTGCAGCTGTTTCAGCAAAGCCGTAACGCAATTCACTAGCAAAAATCAGGGGCAAGAAATCATGGAAAAGGTCTTTAATTTTGTAGATTTGAGACAAATGCTTTTCCTAGCAAGTACTTCAATTCCCTCACACAGAGCAGCTTAGAGGGAGAGCACACTCAGCTCCGCATTACAAAGCAGCCCTTGGTTATATGGAATTGTGGAAGGAAAGTGCCTGAGCCAACAACTCAGCAGCACTGGAATGAAGCACTTGTGGAGGACGGTGTCACACTGGCACATTTAGCTGTGGAACAGCTCTGGGGCTGCTGGGAGGTGTCTTCTGCACTCAGCTTTTGGGCTGTGCATGGCTTGTCCTGGCTTAGGAAAGGGCCATCAGGATGTGCAGCTCCTGAGGGCAGTCACAGCCTACACACATTGCTGGAGACGAGAAATAGATTGTTCTTACTGTCTCTTTTAATTGGCCCATGCCCTATTTAATATTAAATACTTTCCAGAACTGAAGCCTGCCTACATCCAGCTCCAGGTGAGATGAGACTGGCTGCAGCTTGGCCGGTTCTCTGTCAAAGTTGGGTTTGTTTTGTCTTTAACAACTGCCAAACAGGGAAAGCAGCAACCTCATCTGCTCTGTCCAAAAAGGGAGAATGACTCCAGTGATGTATTTTGTAGAGTAAGATGCAATTCTCAGGTGTGCTGTTAGAGATCTGTGCATGATAGCAAGGAGCATCAGCTAGAAAAGGCTTTCATAGAGGTGTGTTAAAGTCTGCAGTGTGTCCTGCAGCTGTAAGATTTCCTTCTAGACCTTGCTTTTCTCTCTGGTCCATGGCAGGCTTTTACCTCTTGTTTCTAAAACTACAAAACTGGCAGACTGTGAGGATACCACCGAGCTGAGCTCTGCAGCTCCACCACAGCAGGCAGCAACTTCTACACACGGAGCTCACCTTGGCCAGAGCTTGGTTTGCTCACTCCGTCTGGGTAGGCTGCATACACTGACACGCTGATGTGGCTTCCTGCTGCTGCATCCTCTGGAAAGAAGCAATAGTTGCCTTTAAGTTGTATCTATTAGCTGCTTTTAAAGCTGTGGATTTGCTCAAGAGCTTCCGATAGAGCAGTCAAAGGAGAGGAGGTGTGGGGTTTATAGATGAAAGAGCAAAGGCTTGGCCAGATAACTGTTTAGGAAGTGCCCTGAAGCCAATGAACACCAGAATGAAGGTGGGAATCAGGAGACAGGTGGGACAGGTCTGAGATCTCGCTGCTGCTGGGCTCGCAGGTTGGCCATTGCAGGGCCATGAGCCCTGGCCATTACAGGGTGAGGAGATGAGCTGAATTTGCAGCCTCATTACATCAAGTGTTTTGCCCTCTCTCTCTGTATAAATGCACATCTGTATTTCTGTGCTTTCACAAGCTCCAGGGATTACCCTACTTTCACTCCCTGCCACCTCGCTCATCTCTTCCTTCTCTTTCTCTGCCTCTTTTTCCCTCCTGGCCTTCACCTGTGGGACCAAATGCCACTGGGTGCCCTCAAGTCTTCTATCACTTCGCTCTTGAATGCTCCCATGCTCCAAAATCAAGTGGGCAGGGGCTCAGTTCCAAATGAAGTATTGATTTTACAACACCTTGACAATCTGCACCCAACAGCAAAAAGGACTCTTGGATATCTTACCTTGGATGTAGGTGTGGGTGTCCTGGCCTGGGACTTTCTTCCAAAAGAACTCTTCCTCGTGGCTGTATGGAGCTGTACAAACCCACTCCACTATGTACCAGAGTGGGGGGGTCCTGCTGTGTCGGGGGGGCTGCCAGGCCACCAATATGGTGCTCTGGTTCTTGTGCTGCACATCCACAGCCAGTGGTGGTGGAAAGGCTGCAAAGAGAGGAGGTGGCATGGGGAGCTGTAGTGAGAGCAGTGAGATTGGAGGGCTGCTGTGCCGGAGGGGGTAAGGGCTGGGGGGCAGGGGGGGAGATGTTCTTGGAAGCGGTGATTTAATATCTCCATCTACGTCTGTCTGTCTGTCTCTATATTTGATATTGAGATATACACACACATGCATGCCACACAAAAGCACGTGTTCAGTTTTGTCATGTCTCCTCCGTCTGAAATGCTTTACCTGACAGATTTACAGGAAACCCGTGTGATTCTGATCAGGAGGAGATTAGAGAATTTTTTCCACCTTGTTTATACAGCAAAGCATCTATTTAGTCACACTCACTGTTTGTCCTTCATTTGAATGGGACTTTCCCCTCCCATTGCTCACAAAAAAGAGACATTTTCAAAAATAGGAAAGTGCGGCTGTGGGGAAAACCACAACGTGTGGCACAGGGAGCCTGAGGCACCCAGAAGCCTTTTTCCTCCCTTCATGCCTGGCAGCTCCAGCTCCCGGCCTGGACACTCTGGCTATTTTGGGAGCTGCGAGCACGGACGGTGCCCTGCCAGCAGGACAAGCTTATTTTTAAACTCATTGCTGCAGCTTTCGGAGGCGAAGCGCTGAGCTGTGCTGCTGGGGCATCTCCAAGGACTGTGGCCTTGTCTGGAGGACACTGCGTTCCCTTGGCAGACGGGCTCCTCTCTCGCTTTAAACCCACGTGCGTGCACGATAACGTTTCTCCCCTCGCCATTCAGATAAAAGGCCGAAGCAGGCGAGCTCGAAGTCCCACCTTCCGGGCTGGGGTCCCGGCGGAGCGGCACACGGGCGGGGCTCGAAGCCCCCCGGGCGTTGTAGGCGGTGACGCGGAGGTCGAGCAGTGCTGGAGGCAGGAGGAGGCTGCAGGCTGTGCTCGACGTGTTGCAGAAAGGACGCGAGGCTCCGGCCCAAACGACGTAACCCAGGATGGGTGTGCGAGCATCGCGGGGCGGCTGCGGGGGGCGAGAGGTGGGGATGGGGATGGGGATGGGGATGGGGATGGGGATGGGATGGAGATGGGGTCCCCGCCCTCTGATGCCGTCGTCACCGTCATTCGGTCGCTGCGGCGAGCGAAGCGTTGCTTGCTACTGCCCCTTAGTGTTTGGAGCTAACGTGCTAAAAGAGAACAAGAGCCGCCCCGAAAGGGCCTTACCTTGATCAAGACTGTCACCTCGTGGCTGCCGTTGGGGAACTGCCGGCCCAGCCGCCGCCACACGTCGGGTGCTGTCGCGGGGGCTGCGGGACACAGCCGGGACGTGCCCTGAGATGCTCACGTCTGAGCATCGCCTGCGTGCCCATTTCTGGCTGCCCTGAGCCCCCGGGCCGGACTGTGTCACACCGAGGTGACGGTGTGTGGGAAAGGATAAGAGCTGCCCTGGGCTCCTCGCCCTGCTGCTGCCGGCCAGAATATCTCAGCTGGCTTCACCCAGTCCCATCCTGGTGCTGATAGCCCAGCTTCAAAGGGGAAAGGCTGCCATGAGGGGGCTGGGGGACCAATCATGGCATTGTAGAATCGTCTGAGTTGGAACAGGCTTTTAAAAACCACCTGGTCCCACTCTCTGCAATGAGCAGGGACACCCACAGCTCCATAGGTGCTCAGAGCCCCATCCCTGACCTTGGGTGTCTGCAGGGCTGGGGCACCCTGCCTCTATGGGCGCCTTGTGCCACCACCTCACCTCCCTTAGTGTAAAGAACATTCTCCTTACATCCCATCTAAATCTCCCCTCTTTTACTTTGAAGCCATCTCCTCTTATCCTATCAAGGACACATCCTAATGAAGAGTCTGCCCCCTTCTTCCCAATTTACTGGAGGAAAGCAAGTTACCAAAGATGGAAAAATACACCAAATCCCCCCTTTTTTTGGAGTCTGCACAGCTCAGCACTTCTGCAGCGACCTCAAGAGCCAGACAAGCCACCACTGCACATAGCACAGCATGGCCCTGCAACGCCCTACCACCACTTACCAGCCTCAGGTGTGCTGTAGATGAAGGGCAGACCCCAAGCACTCCAGGGGCTGCCTGCAGTGCTGAGCCGGCACCGTGCCTGGAACACATAGCTGGTGGCACTCTGAAGTTGGTGTCCACGCTGCACTGCACTGTCCCATGCTGTCACCTGCAGGGCAAACAGGCAATAGGGCCACCACGCTCACCTGGGGACGCTCAGCCCACTGAGCACGTGGTGCTGTTAAACCCACAGTGCAGCCCAGCCTGGGGGTCTGCTGCTGAGGAGAAAGCAGTGGGTGAGCACAGCCGGAGAGCGTGAGCAGGTGCCCATGCTTGGCACAGCGGTTGGGCTTTTTCAGGTTTCCCTGCGCCACTTTGGAGCTCATGTAGTACACAAGGTGGGAATGATCTTGGAGGTCTTTTCCAGCCTTAATGACTCTGTGATTCTTTGATTCATATGCATTAAGGTCAGGGGAAAGACAACTGAACCCATTTAACCCAGGATACCGCAGAGCTCTGTCCCGCTGGCACCAGGCCAGTCCCCCATTTTGGCAGCTCTGCTGAGTGCTGGGACTGAGGGTCAGCCATCTGCCAGCCCCAGGGAGGGTTCCAAAAAGGACCTTGGTGCAGTTTGCCCACGTGTAGTTGTGTGTGTGTCGATGAGGAGGGAATTGATTAAGAGGGTGTTTGCTGAGCACCACCAGTGGCCTTTTTGCACCTTGCCCTTGCAGAGCTAGATAAGATTTACAAATATGACAATTTCTGCTTTTTGCTTAAAGAAGCAGAGTTAATGCTAATGGAAAGGATGTTCTACCCACCCTGCTCCCCAGGAACCCCAACCCGTGGCTCTATAATGGGGCTCAGTGCCATCTCACCTGCCACTCCGCAGCACCCACTGCCTTGTGCCGCTCCTCGCAGCGCACGTCCTGCAGCTCCGTCTGCTGTCGCCAGTGGATGGTGGTGGTGGGAGGTGACCCCGCCGTCGTCTCCGCGCTCTCAGCCAGGGGCACGGCGGGCACCACTGCAGGGAGAGCAGCAGCCATCAGCCGGGGATCACAGCACCGTGTGGGCACAGCGTGCTGGAGATGCCCGTGGTTGCAGCCCCAGCGCAGGGCACGGTGTGTGCCGCGGTGTACCGAGCTGCTGCAGGTCGAGGTGCTGAGGAGCTGAGCGTGCCGTGCCCAGTGCATTGCTGGCCTGCACCCACGCCAGGTAGTGACTGCTGCCATTCAGTGCACTCAAGGGCACCGGTGCATCCATGGGGAACACATCCTCCTGCGCCGTCTGTGTGCTGTGGGGCAGAAAGCAGCCATGCTCAGAGCCCTGCGTGGGGAACAGTCATCTCCAGAGCTGCAGTTTTTCACTCTTCAAGTGAACTAGCAAATCATTTTCTTTGGTTCCTGGCACTGCTGCATGGCATTCATGTTTCTGCTGCAGGAAGGGAGTTCCCACAGCTCGCTCAGGCTGCAGGGTTCAGAGTTTGCACCCCAGGGGCTCCTTTGGTGGTTCATCAGAAAACCCACACAGACTGCACGTAATTGAATAGCAGAGTGGGTTGACAATGAAAGCCCAGCAGCCTCACGCCGTGGGGGCTTGGCCTTGCATGTGGCACAGCATGTGTAGGGCTAGGGCAGGAAGGCCACTGGTGTACAGTCCTTATTTCCTCATGGCGTTTTTGTTTAGGTGCTTGGGCACCCTTAGGTTCATGCTGGGAATGGGGTTGCTGTGCCCTGAGTGCTGGATGCCCAAGGAGGCTGTGGATGCCCCATCCCTGCAGGCATTCAAGGCCAGGCTGGATGTGGCTCTGGGCAGCCTGGGCTGCTGGTTGGCGACCTGCACACAGCAGCGGGTTGGAACCAGATGAGCATTGGGGTCCTTTTCAACCCAGGCCATTCTAGGATTCTGTGATCTGGTTCCCTAGTGCCTGTGTGCCCCTACCTGCACAGGTGGAGGCTGTAGTTGGTGTGCAGCAGTGTCGGCTGCCCGGCGTCCCATGTGCATGCCAGGCTCCCCGAGCGCTCAGGGATGGCACAGCTCAGGTTGGCGGGGGGGTCTGGGGGGTCTGCAGAGAGGCAGCATCAGCATCCCCACCTTCAGCCCCACCGCTCCCCCACCACCCCTAACCCCACAGCGGTACTCACAGCCGGCCCAGAGCTCCGTCCCGCAGATCACCTCGTTCCAGTAACTGTTGGGACAGCGGGCAAGGCAGGTGATGATGCTGAAGGGCAGGCGGAAACCACGCAGCTGCAGCTGGGCCGCACTGCTGTTGAGAAGGCGTGGGGGACCCTCGGGGGCTGTGAGGTTGAGCAGGATGGAGAGGCTCGCCCACGGGCAGTCCAGCGCCGAGACACAGGTGATGGAGACGTTGGAACCCATTGGCACCACTGAGCCTGGCTCGATCCTCACGTGCCCCAGGCACCTGATTTGGGCAGCACCTGCGCAACGCTCACAGCTTCAGTGCAGCCCCCAAGTGCAGGGTAAAGCCCGTGCAAGCAGCTGGTGACTCATTGCTCAGCTCGGAAACAGCCTCACCAGTTTTACCTTCTGCTCTAATGCTTGAATGACTGCAGGGAAATAACGCATAGACTGAAAGCTCTGATCCCTGAGATTACAGCAGCGCCCTGACTCGTGCTATCAGATTGGGGCTCTGCAGCAGCACTGATAAAGCTCATGCTCAAATGACATCAGCTCGATTTGGCTTTCCTGGAACAGGCACAGCTATGCCATGCCATGCTGTGCCATGCCGTGCTGGATGGCCACTTACCTCTGCCCAGGATGCAGAGCAGAATATGGAGCACGAAAGCCTCTCCGCCTCCTGCCATGGCCTGGGCTGTGGCTGCTGCCTGTGTGGGGCATAGCCTGGGGATGAGGGAAGGCATCAGTGCTGCCAGACACCCAGCCTGGGGTGCTGGGGGCAGTCGGGGACACTGGGAAGCCAGCCCCCATGCCCAGTGTGGCAAGAGATCTGATGGAGCAATGGCTGCACAGCTGGGATGGAGATCAAAATTCCACTGAAACTCAAGGAAAAATAATTTTGCCATAAAGGTGCCGGGGCTTGCGAGTGGGCTGCTGTGGAGCCTCCATCCCTGGAAACAGCCAAACCCACATGGCTGTGGTGCCATGGGATGGGAACACCAAACTCTCCTGATGTCCCCAACCTACTGTGATCCAGCTGCTGCCCCTCAGGCCCAGCAGGGGCTTTCCTACCTCTCCAAGGACACAAGCTCATGGCTCCAGGCTCCCCTGAAGTTCCCTGCACTCCCTTCACCCTCCTTCCCACCTGGCTCACTTCTCCCATCCCACTGCACCCGCTGGCCCTGGGGGCAGTGATGAAGGGCTCCTTTTTGGGAACGGGGCACAGAATCCACTGTAAAAGCTTCAAAAGAGCATTATCCACCCCGAGCTTCAAAAAGCTTCAAAGCAGTACAGTCCAGCCCGAAACAACCTCCCAAATGCAGCTCACGCCTTTGCACTTCTCCCCCTGTTACCTTCGGGATGTGTGCGCTGACCTCATTTTCTTCAAGCACAGTGAAAGCATTCATAAGGAGCAGCCAGGCGCCAAACTGACCCAGGGAGGGGCTCTGAAGGCCTCCCAGCTGCCCGCACACCTCCTGCAAGTTGGAGCAAATTAAAAGAAACAACACTCGTGGTCTAGGAAGAACTCTGAGCAAATAATAAATGCTCACGGCAGCCAGTTGCAGCGTGAAGTCACAGCTCTGCTCCTCAGGGCATTTCTTATGCACACGTTTTCATTCCAGTTTACAGCACTGGCAAACTCCAAAGCCAGAAGGCACGAGAGCAGTCTCGTCTCCAGATACATCTCTCTGATCCCATCTCTGTTACAAATCCCCCAGCACCCTGTTGCCGAATAGATGAAAAGCAAAGAGCAAAGCAGAAAGAAGCCATCTCAGCCCTCAAGCCTGCAGATGGTTACCGGGGTCAGGAGCACGCGGGAGCCGAGCGGTGACAACAGGAGTGGGGCTGCTGCCCCACGGCGATGGGATGGGGACCCATTGCAGCCTCACTGCTGGTCACAGCGAGCAGCAGCAGCGACTGCCGGCAGCACTGACCTACATTGCGTGCTGAGAAAGCACAGTTTCCACTTTGAGTCAGTCCATGGGAAAACCCAGCATCCCTTAAAGCAACAGGCTCACGTGTGCGCTTCTTGCCCTCTTGCAGGATGATGTTTTCCTGGCAAACTCTGTGATTTCGTTACGCTCGTCTCACTTTGTGCTCTGCAACAGACACCTCACGCTGCCATCCCCACCACTGCAGGGGCTGCCGAACCCCAGATTTCACCAAGGAACTCTTTTATGTCCTGTGACTAAACCCCAAAGCCTCCAGTGACACAGCCCATAGGAGCGGGGCTGTGTGTGCCCATTCCTCTGCTGCTGTTTCCCAGTGCACAAGGCTGGAAAACCCGGGGGAAGCAGAGCAAGGGCTGCTGGTGCCACCCTCCCTGTTTGCCCCAGTTTGCCCCCTCCACCCCCACCCGTCAGCGGAAGGGTTAACCTCAGTGACAGTGTTAACCTCTTTAGATGCTGCAACCACAGGAAATACCGCACAGCTCGGCTCACCCTGCAGCACAAGTAAAGGTCATGGAACATCGTTTCCCAGGCAGGGCAGCCCTCTCATCGGGGCTCTGGTGGATCTGTGCCATGGTGCTGGGAGGTGAAGGGCAGTGGTGGGCAAAGCTCTGCTCTGCTGCAGTGCCAAACAAGAGGCTGCGATGCCTTTGGACACGGAGCGAGCTCACGGGGCTGCAGAGGGAATCTGGGCTTGTTACTGACGTGTTTCATGCAATATGGAAGGAAAAAGTACTTGTATCATCCAGTGACATTTTCAGGGGCTCTTGCCTTCCTTTGGAATAAAATCTCACTTCTTTCCCTTCTCCGCACTGACAAACCCAACACTCCATCCTCCCCTCGGGGCAGCTGCAGCTCTGTGTTCTCCCACCCCTCTGCCCTTCCCTCTGGGGCTTTTCATCTCCTGCTTTATCTGCCCTGTGGCCTGAGTTCTAGAGGTGTAAATAGCCCTGCTGCTGCTGCAGAGGGAGTCCTGATGGCACAGCACAGCACGGCGTGGCACAGCATGGAATCACAGAATGGCCAGGGTTGGAAGTGACCTCAAGGATCATGAATCTCCAATCCCCCAGCCACATGCAGGGCCACCAGCCTCCCCATTCAACGCTAGGAATGCCACAGTATGGTGCAGCACAGCACAGCACTGCATGGCACTGTATGGCACTGCATGGCAATGTATGGCACAGCATGGCACGGCATGGCACAGCATGCCACTGCACACTTTTCCACCTTGCTGCACATTTCTCCCCATCCTCTTCCCATCCCTGCACCCCCATTCTGAAGCCTTTGCTCCGGCTTCATTCCCTTCCTCCAGTGCCAGATATTCCAGTCTGAGTGCTGGGCATCACCCAGGCAGAGCCCCCAGATTTGCCCAGGAGGGGAAATACGGAGGGTCCTCGCTGCCATCCCCTCGCCACACATGGGCGATGACATCTCACAGCCACTTCCTCGCCCACCCTATTGGGGTGAAATCAGCGGATTTTGTTACTTTTGGTGAACTCAGAGCTGAGAGCCCCGCGGAGCTGGTTGTGTGGGGACGTGGTGACACGTGGGTGCGGCGCACGTGGCTGTGCGAGTGGCAGCGCGGTGACGCGGACAGCTGGTCCCGCTGGTCCCGCTGGCTCTGACCGCAGCCGGCAGCCCCGAGAGCCATAGCCGGCCCTTATCCCTGTGCCACTGACTTAAAATTGGCGGTGGGGCCGGGTGCTGACACCGGGAAGGAGGAATCCGCAAACAGCCGCTTTTGGGGCGGGATTTCCCCGAACGAAGCAGCCGGGCCGGGGGGTTCGGAGGGGGAGGTGCAGGTACTGCGATGGGCCGGGCACGTTCGCTGTTTTGTCTTTGCACGAAACACCGGCCCGCGTGCTTCGCTGCTCTGCCGTAACCTACTTTTATTTTAATTTCCTTTCCAAGCCGCTTCACTGCGGTTTCCCCCCCCCCCCCCCCCGAGTCTCACGGCCCGGCAGGCAGCGAGTGGGCCCTGAGCCCCGGGGAATCCCCTAGAGCGGGGCTCCCTTTATTTCAGCAGGAAGGAGCAGCACAGGGAGCACTTCCATGCGTGCCAACCTGCGGTGCCTCCACCACGCGACGCCCCCCCATATCCCGCACTGCAAAGCGCAGACACCCACTCCCCCCAGCAACGCCCCCGTGCTGCCAGGCCCCCTCAGCCCCCCGTGCAATGCAGCACCCCGTGCCCTCTTGCAGTGCTCCTCGCACCTCCAATCCCAGTGCCCCCCCCCGCAATGCACACCGTCCCCGCACACAGCCGCCCCAATTCCCGCCCTTCCGGCTCCCACGCTGCCCGCAGGCCCCGCCCACTGCCGCTAGCCCCGCCCACCGACCATGGCCACGCCCTTTCCCCAAGCCCCGCCACACCGGCAGTAGCCAAGCCTCTTCCCGTAGCCCCGCCCACCAGCAGTAGCCACGCCCCCGCAGCCATGTCGTCGCAGTTGGCGCGCAGACGCCCGGCGGTCGGGGCCGAGGGGGGAGCCCCCGCGGGAGCCCCCGCGCGCGGCGATGCGGAGCAGGGCATGGCGGCGCCGGGCCTGTCGCTGTGCCTCAAGCTTCTGGCCGCGGCCTTCTACGGCCTCAGCTCCTTCCTCATCGTCGTCGTCAACAAGAGCGTGCTCACCACCTACGGGTACGGCCTGCGGGACCGCGGAGTTGAGGGGGGGGGCGGCGCTCGGGACCCCGCGGGGCTCCGCGCGCTCGCGGCTCCGCGCTGACCGCCGCTCTGTGCCCGCAGGTTCCCGTCCTCGCTGTGCGTGGGGCTGGGCCAGGTGAGTGTGGCGCCCCCTCGCCGCCCCCCGCCCGCTGCCCCCCCACCCCCCCTCACCGCCCCCCGCTCTCTCGCAGATGCTGGCCACGGTGGCGGTGCTGCGTGCGGGCAAAGCGCTGCGGCTCCTCAAGTTCCCCGACCTCGACCGGCACGTCCCGCGTCGGGTGAGCTGACCGCTGGCCGCGTGCTGTCGCGGGTCGTATCTCGATAGGAAACGTGGGTGCAGCGCTCTGACCCTCGGCTCGCTCTGTTCGTTCCTTTTCCAGACCTTTCCTCTACCTCTCCTGTACTTCGGGAACCAAATCACGGGGCTCTTCAGCACCAAGAAGCTGAAGTAAGGACGTGGGGCGCTGGGGGTGCGGCTGGGTGCCCCCGTGGGGTGATGGGGGGGGTGGGGGGATGGAGGGGAGTTCTGGGCACCTCACCCTGCTGAGCCTTCCCCACAGCCTGCCCATGTTCACCGTGCTGCGGAGGTTCTCCATCCTCTTCACCATGTTTGCCGAAGGACTTCTGCTCAAGTGAGTTTCCTTGGGGCTCTGGGGCTCGAGGGTTGGGATCTGTTTTCTGGGCTGGGGGTCATGGCTCTGTGCTGGGCTGGAGGAGAGTGTGGGTGAGAGCAGGAGCCTGGCATGGCTGCATCAACGCAGGGCAGCAGCACGTTTCCAGCTCTGCCGCCTGTTCCCAGTGTGCCTACAGGGCTGGCACATGTTGGGGTCCTGCACTCTGCCCCTGCTTGCAGCTTTCACATTTTTTGTGCAGTCTGGGGGGTGGAAGGCATGATGCCCATCCTGCTGCTGCGTCCCCAAAGGTGCTGGGGCTGCAGAGACCCAGAGCAACACCCACTGTGGATCCCTTGCTGCTGTGGGCAGGGTTGCAGATCTCCCTAAATGCATGCATTGCATCCCCGCTGCTCCCCGCTGCTTTCCCTCCTGCTATGGGGGCTCTGCGTGCCTGTAGCTGACGAGGTGCCCTCGTTCCTCTCCTTTTAGGAAGAAGTTCTCCTGGGGTGTGCAGATGACAGTGTTTGCGATGATCATCGGCGCCTTCGTGGCTGCCAGGTGAGCCTCCCCATTCCCTCACAAGTCGTGACTTTGCTCAGTGCCTGTCGGAGCCCCGGTGCAGCCAGCAGAGCTGCCACACAGTAAAGTGCAGCATTTGGAGGCCTTGCAATGTGAAGTCCTATCCGTGCACTCTGAGCCATTCACGGCACGAAGGAGACAGCTGGGGCTCTTTTCTCCTTGCAAGGAGCTGCCAAGCTTCTCCTGGCGCACACATCCATGCGTCCCGGCACAGAGGGTGAGCGGGGACCTTTTCCCCTCCAGACATGCTCTGCAGGAGGAAGGAATGTTTTCCAGACTCCAGTCCCTCTCTGCATGATTAACTTTTCCTGACAGCTCACCGGCAAACAGGAGCTGGAATAAATCTCCTAAGCGCTGCGCTCAGCGTGGCTGGGAGCTCTCACTGTGTTTTCCCTCCCCAGCACTGACTTGGCGTTCGACCTGGAAGGATATATTTTTATCCTCATTAATGATGCCTTAACAGCTGCAAACGGTGCCTACGTGAAGCAGAAGCTGGATTCCAAGGTAAGGCTGCCCCTCCTTGTGCTGCTCAGTGGCAGCCCGTGGCCTTGTCACCTCTGCTGTGCCCACAGTCCCACCCAGTGCCACCGTGTCCCTCGTTCAGATGCTGTTGGCTCTCCCAGTCCCTGACTGCCGTGTTGGTCCTTGAAGCCTCACTGTGATGCTCTGCTTTTGGGAGGGAGAATGAGGGGCTCATGGGCAGCACACTGCCTCGCACAGAACCCCTCAGGCAGACCTGGCAGATCACAGAATGGTGTCTGGCTCTGATTCTTGGTCTCCTGGAGCCCCATTCAGCTCCCAGCCCTCAGCGGTGACATGAATGAGGGTTTGTTCCTGCCTGGAGCCTGCTTACACACAGCTGTTTCCTATTTCCAGGAGCTGGGGAAATACGGCCTGCTTTACTACAATGCACTGTTCATGATCCTTCCCACCCTGATCATTGCCTACTTCACTGGAGATGCGCAGAAGGTAGGAGCCCTGCCCCAAAAGCACACTCTGTAGTGACAAAGCATTATCTGGAGGAGCTTGTTACTGCTCTAATGCACTTCTCTGCAGCTCAGCCTTCTTGCACAGAGCAGCAAGTGCTCCAAATGTGAAACCGTGGAGTAGCTCCCTCTCCCCAACCTGCACACAGTGCCACGTGGCAGCACGGAGGGCT